ATATATATATATGAAAGTAGTAATGGAATTTTATGGATGATAACATGCATGATTAAGACACTATGCAGTTTACTCTAGAGGGGAAACCACATTTAGTATGTTGTGATGATGCTCAGGGAATGAATGTAAATTTAAAAAAAAATTCAGAGAAAAAAATACTAAAACTGTTACCAAAATTTAAAGAAAAAACTGTGTATTTGATGACCACAGTAAGCTATATAGCCCCAGCTAGGTACCATTTTATAGTATGTTCATTCTACTCACTGAGGTTTATGCCTAAAGTCAGACATGGGTTCTTATGTATGTAAATATCAGCTGTGCTTGCTATTGCAAATATTTAGACAAATTAAGTTCATTAGCAAATCAATTAAATGGGGGAGATAGGCATAGAAAGCAAACAGGGATAACAGAGACAATGGGAGGAGGGTTGGACAGGGCAGAGGGTTAGGGATAGGGAATCAAGGATGGCAAAAAAAGAGAAAAAACTCAAAATATACAAGACATAAGAAATGGAAAATTGTTTGTTGATAACACATATGTTGATGTACTTGATTGAGCCAACAGACAATGTATTTTGGATGAAAAATTCATTTTGTATACTGTAATGATGTATAGCATATTAATGTTAAAAATAAAAACAAATAAAAAAAGAATTATTTTATTTAGCTTTATTTATTTATTTTAATTCGAACACAGAGGGGGGAGAGGGAGAGAAAGTGAGAAAGCAAGCCGCCAGGTTCGAGACTAGAACCACGGTTGGCCATGTGGGAGTCCAGTGCCCTTAACCACTATGCCACCTGCTGGAGGAGATTATCTTTTGTGGAAATCTAATTGGTCTGAGGAAGCCCAAGAGCAGGCGAATAGGCATCAACAGCATGAAGAACCTATCACATTTGGAATATTGACTGTAATAGGGGAGCATGGCATACTGGGGTACAAATTGGATATATACCACAGACATATCAGCAGATTAACATAAGCTTGAGATGCTGGAAAAGAGTTCCCGGTCAGGATCAAGTGACAGGATCCGTGTATGACAGGGAACCAGTGAGCTGTATCAATTTTATTTTGAGCTTGACACAAGCCATTTCATGCTAGACTCTAACCAGGACGCAAGACACATTTTGTTGAAACAATTGGCTTTAAAAATGCTAATACCTCTTGCAGAGCAGCTATTAGTTCACACAGAAAAAAGGAGACAGTGGCTGATCATATTAGACTTTGTCAGGACATTGAAAACATTTATTGAACAATTTTTACTTGTCTGTTAACCACACATTCATAAACTGCTGCTATGTCCTAAAAGCTAAAATTGCTATAAGAGTTTAAGTAGTCTGGTAAATATGTCAAGTCCTACATACAAAGTTACAATATATATATATTTTTTTTTTTGAGAGGTTTTCGCTATAGGGCGCGTGCACTCGCCAGACAGACAGAGAGAGACAGAGAGACAGAAAGAAAGAAATCACCCCCCGGGGGGATGGCTACGCTGCAATCCCTTTTCCACCATTCTCCTCTCGGGATCTTGGGCACGCATGCACACGCATCCGGCATGAGTTCTAAGCCACAGGGTCCGGGATGTGAACTGCGGTCGACTACGTGGGAATCCAGCGATCATAGCCATTATGCTAACTGTTGGTTCCCTAAAGTTACAATCTTAATGTCTTTTCCAGAGGCATCAGATTCCCCAGGTTATAATAATAATAATAATAATATGAAAGTCAAGTTGGCTTATGTAAAGTATTTCCATGTGGTTGTGGTGCTAGTTATTACTGGTTACATTCTATGCTAAGTGTATTTGTGTTCCCCAACTGTACAAGTCTTCTATCAAAAGTATGTCCTATAACTCGTATATATATATATATTTTTTTTTTTTGGAGAGATTTTCACTGTAGGGCGCGTGTGCTCGCCAGACAGACAGAGAGAGACAAAGAGACAGAAAGCAAGAAATCACTCCCCCAGGGGAGATGGTCATGCCGCAATCCCTTCTCCTCCATTCTCCTCTCGGGATCTTGGGCACGAATGCACACGCGCCCGGCGTGAGTTTTAAGCCACCGGGTCCAGGACGTGAACCGCGGTTGACTACGTGGGAATCCAGTGACATAGCCATTATGCTAACTGCTGGTTCCCTGTAACATATTTACTCAAGGTGTAGGGTATGAAAATGCAAAGCTTAGGAGAGCACTTTACCAAGATGCTTTTGCGCTTTTCATTGACAACTAACTTCTTGCTGCTGTATGGTAAAATATTAATATATTTTTCTCATTAAACTGCCTCATGATTATAAAAATAATAATAAGTAGGGACCAGGAGGTGGCATGGTGGTTAAGGAGCTAAA